AGTTAAAAATGTTTATTAAAACTAACTATTAATGGAATAATTATAAATATAATTTTCACAGTATCTTCTTATTTTGTTGATAAATTATAAATATAATTTTCAAAAGAGATTAGTGTTTATATCTGTTGTACTACTTGAAAATTAAGATGAATATTACATTAAAATTATGTTGTTTTAAATAAATGACCAAAAGAAAATTAAGACAAAAAATCTAATCAACGTTCTAAAAATATGATTTTTAGTCCTTTTTAATGAAAATTTATTGAAATAAAATAATATTTTTCACATTCCCCTTTTCTAAGTATAAAGATAAGCATTTGTTGCTTAGTTGGCAGAGCTAAAATTTTTTTTTTTTAAAAGCTTTGCTATTTTTAATTATAAAATTTGTTATTTTATCTATCATCAATTGATTTAAATTAGATGCTCTTCTTGTTTAAATAGTCATAAAATTTTTACATTATGCCTAATAATTAAAGATAATTAGTAAAATACTTAGAAATATTCATAAAAATATATATAATTCAAAGTTGAAAAGAGTATATAGAAGTAACATTTGTCTCTAGCATAATCTCCCTACAAGAAAATAATTCTTTACTAATCTTTAATGTGTTTGGTACATGAATATTTTATGGTTCAAATGATAAAGTGGATGGAGTGACCTTCATTTATTATCAAGGACCCTTCATCATCAAAATGTTTTACTCCAGATTACAAAAAGTATTTTGATCTTTAATTCTATGAAAGAAATCAGCCTCAATTATGTTTTGCACCTTCTGCTAGGCCATAAGAAATTTACTAAAAGGCAATAGAATGTTTCTGTAATATATCTCATTCAATTCTTCTCCTTAGCTTTTCTTAAAATACCTTTCAAGGAAAATTAACAACACACACACATATATATATGTGTGTATGTGATTTTTGTGATATTTCTTATTGCTGAAGTTACTGATACTTGTCCTTTCCTTTATAAAATTTCCAACGACAGAGATAATATCTTAATTTTCATTTTTAAATTATATTTATCTCTAAATTATTTTATACATTTTTTTTAACCCTGCAAATTATATATTTTTGGTTAAATGCTAAATTTAGTCCTCCAACTTTACAAAATGAACATTTTTGGTCCCTTAACAATTTTTTGCATTTTTTTGATCCCTTAACTCTAAAAATTGCACAGTTTTGATCCCTCTATCAGTTAAGTATGAAGTGGCAGTTAAATAATTTTATGTGG